GCTTTCGGTCGCAGCAGAATGTGGTCGGCGTTCCGTGGTGGACTGGATTTTGAAGCGAGAACATAGGAAGCATGGTTTTCATGTCCAGCGCGAGAATTCGGCAGGTGTTTGTTGCGATAAGGAGGATTGACTGGGCATCCACCCGGAAGTGTTCCATCCACAAGGCATACTCCGAAGTTCCATCGTCGGCGACTGGTAGTTGATACTCCCGCACGAGCTGCAGCTTCCCGTACCGAATGTTGTCATTCACGTTGTGATAGTCGACTTTAACGACGTGAATGCTTCCATCCGTCGCACCACTGACAAAGGTGTGTGTATTCTCCACAAACGTCAGCGTCTTTACCTTGGCTTCGGTCGAATGGCGATAGGTTTGGCGAGACCTCGGCGTCAGATTTTTCTCTAAACGGGTTGAGTCCCAGATCTTCACCGTACCATCGTCCGAGCCAGTCACGAAGAATGCGTGATCTGGGGCGACGATCACTCGGTTCACAGAGCCGCTGTGTTCCCCGAAAATGGCGACAAGCCCTCCCGTAGGTTTCCATACTTTGTTGAGATCGTTTTCATTGGCCTTTTTGATTGGACGCCGGGGATTTATCTCTTTAACGTAGGGCCCGAGATCGAAAAGGTCCGTAGGATAGTTCTCGGCGAACACCGAATCTAACATTTTGAGAATGGAAGGGTCATTCCCGTTGTAGGAATGGTTCGCATGATACTTTTGAGGCTGGTTGCCGGATGCTTTCTGGTCATGCTGAGCAGCAGAAGGGGTAGGTGGCTCCGATGCTTCTCTTTGGGCCGGCACGTCAACTTTGCCGAACGCATTCGCCGAGCTTGTGCCCGTCTCTGCATATGCCTTCGCGGAGTAGTCTTTGCGGTTGAGCAGGCTCATAGCGCTAGATTTCCTCTGTACGCCGGCGGCTAGATTCTTGATCATTGGGTTCTCGGCGTCGGTGGGTGTCGAGGAGCTATTTTGTCCTGGACTTTCCCTGCCGCCCCCGGACGCTCTCCGCTCAGTGTCCAAACTAGGTGGTGACAGGGGTCGAGAGCTGGGTGCACCACTTGGTGATGATGCTAGCGGCGACGATGCGGCGGAGTGTTCCGTGGCCCGGACAATATCCAAAGCATGTTGTCGTGAAGCTCCCGACTCCCGCTGCAGTTGGCTTCTCGTCCGCAAGTGTTTTCGACGACTGCTTGGTGCCCTATCTATGGTGGTTGAAGCGTCAAGGAGGGCATCCGTGATGGTATGCCTACGCTCGTCGGGCCGACTCGATTCGTTTCTGGCCTGGGCGTAGTCATCTTTGCGTGGCCTAATGTTCTGGGTCTTGTCAAAGAAAACCGTCTGTGGAGTAACCCCAAGTTGTGTCAAAGCGACGACGTTGTTCAGGGGAGAAATTGTAGTATCAGCATGCTTTGTGTGACGCTGCGATACTTTCCTGATGTACTCTCTGAGAACAACAAACTTGAACTCGTCCTCTGTGTTCATCCCCATATTTCGCAGCCGAGATATCCACTGCTCATCTTCCTCATTCCGAGGCTGCGCACTCAATGAAAAGCCCGAGAGTTTCTGCCCACTACGCGAGGGCAAGCCATCGGATGAGCCTAGAGTGAACATGCCATCGGAAGCCGCTGACTTCCAGAACACTCCCTTATCCGCTTTTGTTGCCCAGACCAAGGCCAATTCATACACACTCCGTGAAAGTGGTCTTTTAAGTACGTCGAGCAGCTCAATCTTGGAAAAGTTCCATGAGTTCACCTTGATGTAAGGCCGTACAAGTGGCGTCAGAACACAGAGCTTGTCGGGAAGAGATAGATACTTGGTCGAATTAGTGACCAAAGACGCGGCTGCGTCCCGGATCCAAAGGTTAGGGTGAACCAAATACCGGACGATGGTGTTAAGCAAATCCCAAATGGTAGACCGTTGGAAAAGACCGAGGTTAGCCATCGCAGCCAAGGATCGAATTACTTTTTCCACAACGAACTCCTCGGGGTCAGCCATGGATTGAACCACCAAGGGTAGAATGTAGTGCTCCAAACTCGTGCTCCCCACGTACGCCGCCACACCCACTACCGCCTCAAAGAAGGCGCATTTCAAGATCCAGTCGCGGTCGTTCAAGTAGGTGTTCAGGTGGCTCAAAATCACCTCATTAGTTTTGGCGTTACCAAAGAACACACATAAACTGGACACCGATCCGAGGAAGGCTCGACGAACAGAAGAATCACTGTCAGTCAAGAGAGCTTTCGTGTGCGCTTCGAAATACTCCAGAAGGTCGACTCGCGCAACGTCGTAGAGATTGTGATATGTGGCATCTTCTGTCCATCTGGGTTCACTGCCTGCTGGTATCAGATCCGGTAGACGAGTGTCGGAGCGCAATGCTTGGATCATATCCAAAAACCGAAGTGACGACTGCGCAAGGGACGCAATACACGATGCGTAGGCGGCGCGGACCAGAGTGCTGGGGTTCGAATTCGCGCTTGGGACGAATGGTTGAAGTCTGGGGAAGATGTATTCGGAGAAAAGGTAAGCGTTAACTGGAGAGACTACTTGAACCATTTCGAGTAGCTGTGCTAGAGTGCGGATGGCAGCGACTTTCACTGAATCCGTGCGATCGTTAAGAAGGATCATTATGTAAGGAAGTATACGGTCCAACTTTGCTTCGTCCGACAATCTCTCAGCGAAGGCCAGAAGAATGTCACAGGCTTTGATCCGAGCCGACGCCTTGGATGTGTTGCGCAGATTCGACACAACAACAGTCAGGAAGATCAAAACGCCATCGTCTGCTGGCGCCTGAGATGTCAACACCTGGTGCCTGTAATTGGGCAGGTCAAGGTGGACAGGAAAGGTGGTGCCGGTGAGTCTGGCGGTGGATTGACCGAAATTGTTGCTGGCGGCCTTGGGCGAAGAGTCGAGGAAATAGGATATCTTGTCAAAATCGTAAAAGACCCGCTCGATCCTATCATCGGCTTCACCCCTGCTGGCCGACTCCGCGTCAACCTGGGTTCTCCCCTCAGAGGGGTCGGTCATGAGCGACATGTATTGGTGAAGAAAGCTGTAGAAATACTCCGGAAACGCCTTCGCCTTCCAGAAATTCAGATACTCTTCCGCCGAGTATCTCGACTCTGGCTCGAGTTGAATCATATGGAGAATCATGGCTCGTATTTCCGGGTCTTCCACCTTCATCAACTGGCTGTGCTCTGGGCTGTACTCGCCTTTCCGATATTTGTAAATCTGGCTCAGAGTGAAGATCGGTGCCTCTAAGAACAGCTCCGCAATCACGCAGCCAGCGCTGAAAATGTCCATGGCCCAATTGACATTCCGATTCCCTGGCTCTTCGCCGGCTTCCAGAAATCGCTCTGGCGCCAGATAGCAGGTTCGTCGTCCGGATGTGTCGAAGTAGAAATAGAAGTCGGCCGGATTGTCTTCCGGGAGAAAGGTCGGTTTGAAAGATGAAGAGAAATCCGAAAGATACAGCCAGTTCCAGGAAGTGACCAAGACATTCTCCGTCTTGATGTCCCCGTGGAACACATCCAACGAGTGACAATCGCGCAAAGCACACAGTAGCTGGAAAGCAATCCATTTCTTTTCAATATCTTCGGGGAAAGGGCGGGTGCTGCTTACGTTAGCACGTTCGAGACATGACGTGGATTCAAAAGAAGCCCAAGAAAAGCACCTACCTCATGCGGTCGTAAAGGGAACTGTGGATGTACTGGCGAACGAGGTAACCGCCCGTACTGGTTTCCAACACCCTCTGATGGCTTAACGCGTTGGGTACATTAGAAAGTAACTCGCGCTCCCCTAAATTCAAAAGTTAGCATAATTCGGCCCCACAAGTCTTTGTACGTTCGAGTAATCAACACAGGCAAACCTACTAAGTATGACTTTGACGTATGGCTCCAGCTTCATGCTAGGATACGGCTTCATAATCACCTTCACAAAGACGAGACCATTTTGTCGCCTTGCTCGGATGCTCTTCATGAATCTGCCGCCGCCCATCGACTTCTCATACATCAGATCGGACAGCTCTGGAACATCGATCCCAGCCGAACCCGCCGAGAGGGTTGTAAGGGAGTAACCTTGACCCATGATGCCGAGGCGTCTTCATCTCACAGGGATTGAGGGGAAGGCCGGAGATATCCAGCAAAAACAGAAACTGGCAAGCTGGAATTCTGCCGATGCGCTCAGGCGAGCGACAAGAATGGGCCGAGTATTGCAAGTCAATTTAAGGTGAAGTCAAGTCGACGCGCTGGGGGGAAATGGCCGCTACGGGTCACATGATACGAGGTCCTACGGGGAAGGCGGTGAGTGGGCACACTCGTGACATGGATGCACCGATGCGGTTAGCGGAAACCCGCGATTAAACAAACCAATTGCTGGCAACTTACGGAGTACAGCTAACATTTTGAGAAGACAAATTAAACATGCGATAGAAGCTATGGTGGACGATTCCCCCCGGAAGGAATACCACAGGTCCATCATATGTCCAATGATGAATTTTCCCGGACTCATTCTCAGTCTTGAGAGCCTCGAACCCCCTGGCATTCCGGCTACTGATGTCACTAGGAGCTATCAGGCTTGGGGTGAACGTGCTGGAACCAATCAAAGCCCCGACTAGCTATCATGGGCATCGGTAGTCATCCGACGATTATGGATCCTACCCACTTCTGACACTCTTGCTGGATGCTTCACCGATACTCCTGTTTTGCCGACTCTTCACTCGTCAGTCGTCAAGTTCGACGTTGGTCATATCGTCGCCATTCACGTGGCGCGATCGCTGCCAAGACTCGCCTAATAAGCTCTCGAATGTCAGCCATTCTTGCGAGAAAAGCTTGTTCACCGACTGAGCATTTTAAAGCTCCCTAACCAGCCTCATCAAATCTCTGTCGGTGGCTGCTCATCCCTGAAATTTTCTTCTAACCCCGCCCTTTTGTTGTGCTTCATGGTAGCAAAGTCTTGATTCCTACGTCTAGCTGTCTTGGCTGTGAAGCCCAACCGTTAGGTACCCTACATGTCTTCTTCCATTAGGCCGGATTCTTCGACATCATCGATAGCGCCCGCCGACAATGGACATCAACTTGAGCCACCGATTATCGAAGACAATGAGCCGCTCGCCGACGTCGTTCGAAAGCTGTACAAGTAAATTCTCTCATGCACTCGTGGCTAACCGATAGATAATGTATACGATATCTGACACGTGTCGTGTGTCGTCTAGTTTCATAACCCTGGCCGTTTCCGATGTATCGTATACATTCGAGCAGCTGAGGTCTACTCCCCATGGTCAACATCTCAGACATCTGATTTACGCCTTGGCGGAGAACTCACATAATCCTTCCATAATCGCTGCTCTGATGTATGTTTTTCGCTCGTATTCTGTTTCGAGAAGATCAGTTCTGAACCGAATTTTTAAATAGGATCTTGAAATGGGAATTTGATAATACGACGGATGCCGATTGGGGCCTAAATGAAAGTCGCGGATATGCCTGCGAGTATGTTGCCTGGCAGTTTCTCTGCCACCTCGATCAACGAGAGACCATTGAGTTCTTGCTGGAGGAGCTTAAACTACACAACCCAAGTAGTGCCTCTCTGACCCAAGCGGAGCGAGGCACTGCAGGCTTTACAGGTCCCGTTGAAGAACACAGCAGACGAGAGAGCGAAACGATACCCTTACTCCAGAGCTCTTCATCGTCTGTGTATAACTTATTTGGGGGTCGGAGTCGCGTAGGAAGCGCCTTTTCTTTGGACAATCGAGGCTCGTATAGCTCCTCTCATGACGCACAAGAGTTGGAGAAGTTCTCTCTGTTCTTTGGCCTGAATGCATTAGAGATCGCCACCATCGCCCATGCAAAGACATTCCTGGGCCAGAAGGTGGTCCAGAGGGTCATAGACAACATATGGAAGGGGGAGATTGTATTTTGGGACACGCTGAGCGTACATTCGACCAAACGACCGCACTTCCTCGATAAACGGTATGACGGGCTGCATTCGTTCATGCAGTTAGTAGCCTGCTAACCTGTGTACCCCGATACAGAACGGCAGACCCATACTCACGTCTCAGGGTTCCGGTATACCGGAAAGCGTTCGAAGCTGCCTTCTTCGTATCTTTTCTTCTTCTGTACTATGCGGTTCTCGTCGAGAGGAAGTCGACGGGCATAGGGCTCTTCGAGACGCTAATGTACTTCTGGATCGCCGCATTTGCTTATGATGAGTTTAGTGGCATGGCCGACGCGGGCATGCTCTTCTACCAGATGGACTTCTGGAAAGTGTGGAACATGGGTATCATAGGCACCGGACTCGCTTTCGTCATTGCAAGTGAGTCATTCTGTAACATGCGAATCTGCCTTGTCAACGTTTCAGCTCTGTCCTGTCGGTCTGGATCTGGCACAGTGGTGTTGCCCCAGCTGAAAGTGACTTGAATCCATGAACTGATAGGGGGGATGTCCAGGGATTATCGGCCTGGCCCAGGAGAGTGATTACATCACGGACCTATCATTCGACATTCTGTCCCTGGAGGCACTGTTTCTGGTTCCACGGTGAGGATCCACATCATTTGAATCACTGTCAGGTCTTAGTTTCAGGATCTAACTGCGGTGGACAAGACTATGCTCGCTCGTGAGCCTGAACTCTTACTTTGGAAGCCTGGTATGTCGGACCCGCCGAACGCGCGCATGGGCGCACCGATTTCCAGAACGCCCCACTGACTGGTTCCTTGTGTAGATACCAGTTTTGAAGGAGATGGTATGGATAGACACTCTAGCACCTGGCCTACTGCGTTTGGCGTAGGATGGGGAGGGACGGTGAGGCTGATCGATACGACTAGACCAAGGCCTTTTTCCGGTTCATCCCCGTGGTAGTAGTGCTGTATATCGGTAAGTCCAGGGCCCTGATTGGGTTAGACCCCGGGCAAAGAGAAAGTGTCGGTGCCAACGGTGGGCAGGGTTCTTGACAACATTCACGATGCTGGCGCGCGACCGCCTTTCTCTCAGGCAAATGTCGTGGATTTTGGTGAAGGTGTTCTTTGGGTATGGCGGTGAAAACCCCCCGGCGTCGACCGCTCTTTGAACTAACGGTGCGAGGCAGATCGAACGTCTTGGGCTTCGTGCGTTGTTCCTAAACTTGGTGGAAAGCGTTCTTCAAAACTGATGGTGGCTGAATCGATTGGACATTAGGACATCGCTCAGGAAGTAAGTCCGACGCACTAAGCGGCTGTCATGCGGCCTGAATTGAAATTGTCAGGGGTTTGGCAAAATCGGTTGGCTCTCGCGTTAAGTTAACTAACACGCTAATTCCTTAGATTTCCCCAATCTTCGGCTACGGTTTAATGTGAGTTTTTTCTATACCTGCGCCACAGGAACTTTGGAAAAGTCGGTCGCATACTCTTTCGGTCACGTTCGACGACGCCAGTGGCGTTGGAAATACTGTGCCCAACGATTTGAATTACTTTTTTATTCAGTTGATTTTGATTTTCTATTTGGGTGGTCCTCGTGGGGTCGCCCGATCGTGCAAAGTGTGGTTGCCGACGAGGGTGACGGATGGGTTGCGAGACCCTGTAGGCGCCATGCCGCTGCCATACTCCATAGGGCATCCAACCCCACGGCACCTTGGCATTTGGAGCTTCGAATTACATCACAGAGAAATTGGAGAAACTGACAGCCATGATTTGCAGGTTAATCTTCGTCTCCATGACAAATCTACTTTTGATCTCTTCGTTGGTCAGTTTGATGAGTATGAGTCTAGAAGGGGTACGTTCCGTCCTTCCCGTGGATTGTCCCTTCAATCGGGCGTGTTGATTAATTCTCTGCTAGGTCATGGCACATGCCAGGGAAGAGTATCTCTTCCAGTTAGTAACCAGCCGGTTCATGTTCGTCTCTTTTGGGGTCCGTCGTCTAACTGGTGTGGAAATAGGCTGTCCATCTACGTGCTTGAAAGCAGTAACTCCCGCCGACTAACCTACTTCATGCCTCCCTTGGTCAGTTGAGACCCTAGTTTGTACCGTTTGTTTTGGGCTTGGCCACTGACCACTGCCTTTTATTCTTTCGCCGACAGAATCTCATCCCTCTTCTCTGTATCCGTCCTCTGCGGCTCTTCTTGTCTGCAGAGCGCATTCGTCGAGTGCGTATCATCCTCCTCCGAGCCACCCATCTCCCCTTTGTTGCGTTGATCTGGGCCTATGAATCTAGCCGCCGCTATGTTGCCCGGCGAAATAGTCATTTTCCCCCGACCGCGAGGACACGAGGAGGTAGCCGACCTACATCCTCGATACAGAGTGGTTTTGCTCTCTCCACGCACCGCGCCCCGCTCTATGCCTCCGCAACGGAGCGTTCGCTGGGTTCTGCGAGGCTCAGGGGCCGCACTAGTCCGGGTCAGCATCCCGAAGCGCGCGGGCTAGGCCCGGGGCAGGCCGGGCGTGTTGACACCGCGGATATGATCGACGAGGTGGAACGGTTGCGGACCCAGGTGGAGCGAGTGGCAGCTACGGTGGCCGTCCACCACCGGCGCCAATAAATGATAATTGTCATTCAGGGAGAGAATGTTCCTTTTGGGGAACCTCGCGCAGGGCCGACGGACCACTGCCACGAGTGCTACGCACACGCACCTGCTGCATAGCCGATGCCATAGCTAAAGATTTAGCGTGAGGACCGGTCCCTGACCAGTTCCCAAACGGGGAATCGTTCGAAATGAGCCCTGTTCGACAGAGGACTCGGGCGTGATGGCTTTTCTTTTTTCCTTTTCTTTTTCTATTTTTCCCTTTTTAGCTTTTCCGTTTGGATCCCGACTGATTTATTTTGGATTATCATTTTTTATTTTCATGATGTTATTTTCTATTTTATTCAATTTTTTTTTTCCAACCACGGGTTAACTTTTTTTTTCTTCTGGAATGCGGTGCTTGATAGGTGGGGGAATTGATATAAGGTGACGGTGATTAATAGACACGTACACAAATTAACGACCAGGGGTTCGTCCCGATGGGGCAGGAGGCCTCTTCCTGGTCTACTGTTTACTAAAGGTCGATGACCATGATCGAGATCCCTTGTCTCCCATCTGCGGCCCAGTCTAATCCTCCGGAATACAGACTGGAATCAAGCCCATTGTTCAGAGGGAGGGAAATGAATGGTGACGGAGAGACGTTTTTTGTTTGTTGGTCTGCAAGTTAGGGTTGGATATGTTCTCCCCCCCCTCTTTCTTCCATCGTCACAATTCTTCTTACCCCTCTCCCCTTTTTTCTTCCCGGATCATGCGGCTGTGTTTGCCAATCAGACCAGGCGACACGCACTGCTCATTTGCCAAGCAAGGTACCAGACTGTCGGGTCCAGCCTTGACCACTTCGAGCGGAGCCAGAAGCAGGAAAAAAAAGAGGAAAAGAAAAACATCTTCCGGCCGGCGGTGATCGGGGGAGCCAGGCGTCGCGGGTCCTTCCAAGTCCCTCCAGCTGCACCCCATCCATTCAATCTCTCCTGATGGACCACCCTGTCTGAATTTCCCATTGACCAAGTACTAGGTACTGCTCCTCCTGCTGGGTGTTGTCCACCCACCCTGTCGGTGATTCTCTTTTCTTTTTCCTTGTTTCTGTTATTTTTAATCCCCTGTCACTGGGGCTTTTCTCGGGTTCCCTCTGGCATTGCTGTTGGAATATTATTGATTGCGGTTATTAATAATTCTCGCTCTTATTTATTTTCACTTTTTTTATATTTTTTATTCTATTTTCTTTTTCTTTTTTTTTCTTTTCTTTTTTAATCGACTCGGGCAAATTCTATTAGGCCACAATGACGATGCTCATTCTCTCTCTTTCCCCCCTCCTTTTCCATCCCTGTTCGACCCCGGTACCGACGAAGACTTCTGACTTGACAGACTGATGGACTGGTAATTTGACCTGATCACACCCTTCCGGCGCTAAGTCATTGTGCATGCCGACTTTCTCTCTGTCGCGCCTATCTGGACGCTGCAGAGATGGCCTGCAGTCAACCCGGTCCGGCCCTCCAGCTAGACCTGCCACACCCCCCTTCACTTACTCATTCTGTGTTTCCCTCTTGCCCACCGCATTCATGCGTCTGCTTTCCTTCAATTCTGCCTTGCCTGACCCAGGCGTCAAGGTTGCTGCTCGTCTCTCTCCTGTGCCAGTGCGGCGGCACCGTCCCCTCCAATTGTTATTTGGCGTATTCTATCGATCCCATTTTCAGCCACGCTCCATGTTCGCCACTATTAATCTTTTCCAACGGTGCTGCTGTTGAGTCATTATATTTATCTTCTTATAAACCCTCGTGGTTTCCTTAGATCGTGGATATAGTTCGCTGCCTGCCTATATTTGGTTTCCCACGGGTGAGATTGAGAGAGAGAAAAAGTTCTCTTAGCTTGCGACAATAAGAACACCAGTTTGTCTTTTGCTACTTCGCTGTTCATTTTCTTCTAGTTTTTTGCATCTGAAATTCTTTTTCATCTTTCTTATAACCCCGCTTCTTTCTCTATTTATTCTCCTCTTTTTTCTATCTTTTTTTCTCGGGCTTATAATTTCTCTCGTTTCGTTGCCTCTCGAGCCGAGCCTCCTCCCTCTCATTTTCGCCGCTTGTGACACTAAAGAATGGACTGTACTTCTATGTCGTTTCCTTCCCCTCCCTCCCTCGTTCGCACACTGTCGGATGATCCAATGATGCTGGACACCTCTCCGGCTTACTCGTCGCCAATGCGGTCCGTCCATAATTATGTGCCTCACTCTCAGCCTCCCACGGGGCTAGGAATCTGCAACTGCGATATGGGCCCATCTGCTGAGCAGCTGAGGGTCTATACTGGATCATACCCGTCACCAACAACCGACTGGACTGACCAATTAATGCCTCCCGAGACCATTATCGATGCCGCGCTGGACGCTGGCCCATTTTCTCCTGCGACAAAATACGAGCCCTTTGGTGGTATTCCAGATGTGTCAGCCTCGCCCCTCAGTTTCTACGGTTCCCAGGCGTTGAGTGCGTCGCCAGAATACGGCGTCCCCATGGAAATTGCGGGACATCACGACATGCTCCGGAGTCAAAGTTCAGGAATATGGCCGAACGCAAACTACTACAACGCCTTCGATCCCTTCGAGAGACCGAGCAAGATTAAGGAAGAGCACAACGAACGCTGGGACCAGAGCCTTCTTCCGACTGCCACTGATGTCCCCATGACTTCAGCAGTGGCACCGATGCCGCAAACGATGATCAATAACGATGTATCCACTGATCACCAGCTGACTGGGAGCACCAGTGGCACGCTCGTTGAGGTAGATCCCAGTGTCGAAAGGCTCTCGAAACGCGGCCAAAGATCAGTGGCGCAGAGTAATCCATACGAGGTAATCTTGAAGTGGACCAAAAACCATGACGAAACATCTAATGACGATCCATCCAAGATCCCGTCTGCTAGTGGTCTGGAGTGTACCACTTGCGGCACTCGCTTTACTCGACGCTCAAACTGCCGTGAGCACATGAAGAAACACGACCCATCTCGAAGGAAGATGTACACCTGCGACACCTGCGAAAGACCATTTGGCAGGCGAACTGACCTCAGACGACATGTGGATAGTGCAAGTAGTCTATATCTGCGATTCAGAAAACACCAGCACTAACGAACCGCCAGATCCATCGTGGCATTCGGAAGTTTGCCTGCGATCTATGTGATCAGAAGTTCAGTCGACAAGACACGTTAACAAGGTATGTTAGGCATCTCAGATTATGGTCTTATTTGTTCATACGCTAACTTCAGCTCCTACAATAGACACCGAGCTGATTGCGAGAGACGAAAACGCAAAGCGGCGAAGGAATCTAATCGCGCGAAGAACGACCCTGCCCCGCATTCCCTCTCGACGACCGACATTCACGATATCAAGATGGAACGATTTACTCCAGAGATGTGATCTCACCATCGGGCCTTTACATTCGAACGAAATATTCCAAACACGACATAAGACCCACGACCAGTTTTATGGCTGCGTTGATCGCAGATATGGTCCTCGAGGTTTAACGAATGTGCTTTTTTCTTTACCATATTTTTCTTTGATTTTGCGAGTTATCAGTAACGGCTAGTGATGTATACCTTGAACGAAAACCATTGTACTTGACGGATGGGAGGCGGCTTTTGTCTTTTTATATATCAGCACTGTTCTGCGATTGTGTTTTGGTTTTGCACATTTTGGACGAGTCGTTAGATCCCGCATTGAAGCGCTTGGGCGCTAATAGAAATTAGGCTTTAATGCATGGCTGGTCCATGCTCAACGGATCAACTTGGAGCTTTGGATGGGCTTTCGAGCCTTTCATTCTTTTTGAGATTTCTTCTTTTTTCTTCTCACTTGATAGTTATTTCTCATGCTCTTCTACTGTGGGTGGTTTTTTTTTTAACTTTCGCGAGACCCCTCAATGCAAAGGGCGTCTCGCACAAGGCTGTACGGATACGGAGTACCTGACCTTGAAATACGCTAGTTACTGGCAGGTCCACACGGGACCATGGAACGGCTAATTTGGAACAAAGGGTGCGGTTATTGCGGGATCTTCTTCTAGCCCACGCCATTGACTTTCTTACTTGCGCATATGTTTACTTTCCTTCAAAGCAATCCGCACCGACAACCGTTGTTACTGATCGATCGGAGGAGATCTTCTCCGATAAGCGCACTCACATAAAGCCTTGCATGCGAGCAGGAATTAAGGAAGTAAGGTCCAATACCTAAACGCCGCGGGTAGACTGATACGCCAGAAGTACTAGTCCACCATGTAGTGCTAATTGTGGAGCGGCCGGCCGGCCAGCTTTGCGCCTTCAAGACTGAAAATTACTCTCCAACCTGTCGATTCTACTTCACTGCCCCGGTGACTGGATAGACTGGATAATACTGTCAGACAGTAATCTTCTTCAAGCTGGTGAGGCTTATACAGTCCGAGCACAGACACAATGACTTGCTTAAAATAGAAGAGAGAAGACATCAGAGGATAAGAAACTCGACCCCAAGGTCTAACTCGGCCCAGAATCTAACCATCACAAGCCGTACGGAGTAGTACTGCGTACTGCGTACACCCGCCGAGTCCACCGAGTCCACTACCCCTAGAGCCTAGTCAGAGAAGCCGGAATCCCGTCGAGTCGACACTCAATAATTAATTCCTTTATTTCTATGGAGCCACTACATACTCAAGCAACAAATTGTCCCTCGGGTCTAGTTTTCCTCTCGCCCGCCAGATATTAACGAACCAACCAACTAGAACTTGGATTCCAATCCTCCTCTTTATTTCGATCGGCGAAGACCGACAGGATCGAGAGCCGAGGGTCCAGAGTCCAAAGTCGAGAAGAGGAGAAAACAGAAACCTCGTACCGAGCAGCGAAGAACAGAAAGTACTATCGCGGTTCGTAGATCGTTTGTGCGATGGATCATTCTTGCATGCACTGTTGATCCTCTGCGAAGGGGGGAGTCTGTCATAGGTGGAATTATTCAGGCCTTGCGTTGCCGAGTCTCGTCATCATCCTAGCCTGGTTTCCTCTGTTTCTCTTCACACCCGGCTTCTGTCTATCCCGTTTCTCCCTACTTATCTTTTTGCGGTGCTTTCATTTTTTCTTCTTTGGTCTTGTTTTTCTGGATTTCTTGTTTCTGGGGTCTCTTGTTCTTGTCCTGTCAGAGTATGCATTTACTTTTTTGGGTGGATTTTCTTTCTTTTTCAATCCTTATGTCATATTTATTATCAACTCCTAGAACTAGGTGCGTACTTGGTTATCTCCTTCCTTCAGCGGCCGGACCCGCCGCCCCGGTGTTATTCAAGCACCGCGAACAAAAATACCACTTCCAAGAGTCAGCAGGACCCATCCGAGAGACTATGGAATTAGGGATATGGATCGAATTCCTTCTCGGATGAGAGACTAAATAACCTAACAAATACCTACCTGTACTATTTCCACCCGAAAGACCGAAGGAGCTATTCTTTGGAGTTAGGCACTTCACCCGAAAATCAAGCGGATGTGTCCCGCTGTTACACCCAGATGTTTGCAGCGCCCCCGACTTCTCTAACTACCTACCTACCTAGGTAAAGACTACAGAGTATGGATCCTTAGACACTACTAAGTTAAGGTACTTACCTAGACTGCTCTGCAATAACTTATCCGCAAAGGCCAGACCAGGCAGATCCTAATTTGTCTTAATTGCAACTAATCTGTGACCACTGACCACCGACTCGCAGACCCAAGTCTCTCTATGGCAAGGTCACTCAATAATACCTAACACTACCGAAGGTAATATGTTAAATAATAATCTCAAACAAGGCAAGTCAATCCGTCCACAAAGCAATACTATGCCATACTACGTAGTAATAAAATAAGCTAAGAGTCTAAGAAAGAAACAAAAGAGAGACCCCAAATATGGGTCTGTCTGTCACATTTTCTAATTTGTTTTCACGGAACTCACCCGGTTGGTCTGGATAGTCTGACGCAAATCGAAATACAAACTCACCCGAATCGGGTGGATATTTCTTCCGTGCCTACTACGTACCTACGGCGAGGTACTACTTGCTAACTTACCCTAATTAGTTATTATTGACATATCAAGTACTAGTTAGTTACAAGGACTGAACCATTAGTCAGCTGGCTTTTTGGTCTAATTAGTTAGAAGTCATACCATATTGTCAACATGGAACTGATAGCGATATCTGAAATTGCTACAACTATTAACTAACGAACTAACCAACTACAAGAGTTAACTAATTAGCCTTCTCATTTTAATGGATTGGCAAGTTCTGGACTAGCTACTCAAGGTATCTACTCCGTACACTACCTACTTAACAATTGTGATTAACTATAAATCATATTGCGGAGTACTCTCGCCAGCTCGAGTGTGGCAGATCAAACAGTTGCGAATAGCTATAGTTGAGACACCAAATAGATTATCATATCAATAACACCTTGCAGTCTCGTCACATGATTCCCTCTGTCATCATTGCTTCGAGCCCTGGAGTCATCAGATGGCTCCTGTGCTTTTCAGCACGAAGCAGATGTGCCATCGGAGTCGCATAGCACATTGTCCACTGGTCTGGTTCGCCATGGCCCACTGTAATCTAATCGGACAACTGACTTCCTTACATAACATCAACTTCCTTCCATCCACATCACATCTGCCCCAACTTTCTACCATTCTATTTGTTCAAGACAGTCGTCGATGAGGCTTGGGGCGTAGTCGGTACATCCAGTCAAGTCGAACTTGCTCTATTTCGTTGTTCTCTTTCAGCTACAATAGGTACCACCAGGGCTGTTCACGATTTGCCTATTTGCCTATTTTGACGATACTATATCGGCAACTATACTATATAGTCAGTCCTA